GTATCTCAAACGGCTTACCTCGTTATCTTGACGCCATGTTTGTTTATCAATCTAAAAGTAGCGACGCCATCACGTGGTGGATTTATTTAAAAATAGCAATTTCTCTCCTAGCAGAATAATAAATAATTATAATTTGGTATCTTTATAACGCATTTTATTTTAATGGTGTAATTTACAGTTTTTTGTAACTTTTATTGGTAAACAAAATATATAAATTTCTTTTTTTTTTCGTTTTTTATACTGGCGCACGTTATGGCGTATATTACTTTAACAAATTTTTATCTGAGAAAGATGAAATACGAAAGATGTACAATCATTTTTGTCCTTTCGCATACAGTATACCCTTGGTTAGGGAAAATGATTGGGCTCATTCTTTGGAGATTTTTATTTTGAAATTTTGCATGAGGGTGTGGTCCTTTAATTGAACTAAGTTGAATCACCTTTACCCAAAAATAGTTTGCTAAGTTTGGTTGTAATCGACCTAGTCATTCTTGAGAAAGAAGATTTAAATTAGATACGGGTATTTCCATGACTCCTTTATCGCCAGTGGATTGGCTGGTGGCCTCTGTATAAACGTAGTATCTTCCCTCTTTCGCCGAGTATGGGCCCGTATCATCACTGGGTGTTCCACTCTATAAATTAATTTTTTATTTATTCTAAAAATAAGCGACATTTCCTACAATATCAGGAATCAGCATCAATACTTACGCTATCTTTTCTCCATTTCATGACGCCATAATTTTTAATTGAACATGTTTCAAAATCTGTTTCAAACGAACAGGAATACAAAACGTCTGTGGCATCTGTAAAAGATGTTCATCGATTAAGTCTGGATCATTTTCCTCCTGAGATTGGACAGTTTTCTCAACCTTTCTCTTTAGACATACGCAATCTTATTTATTATACAAGTTTTTTTTTGTAAAAGGTAACGTTGATGGTTATTATTACGAAGATAGCAATACCAGTATGCTTAAAAGTAAAAAAAAAACCAGTAGTTTTAAAGATTAAATGTATTATCACCGAGTCCATCTATGGTTTATCGATCAACATCCCTAATAGATATAAATTTCAAAATTTAAAGAAGGCACAATACTTAATAAGATCAAGTATATATGTAAAGTGTTTAAATGCTTGAAATTCAGAAGTTTTGAAATTTCTTTCGGTTATGTTTTCGAAAAATATGTCATGTTATACATGTTATTCATTTTCCTGAGTGAAATGACCAGAAATACATGAGAAAAAATAAAAATATGCTTTATGTGCAATTTGTTATATATAGTGGTATATGGTGTAAAAATTATTTTATACCTGAACAGTTGGATGGTTTAGTGAAAACACCGTCCACACATAGGCATTTGTACTCATCGCAGTACGAATTTTCGCCACATTTCATTCCTCGTCCGCACGTGCAACGTACACCTGACCATCCACTCCTGCACACGCATTCCCCCGTGTCTTTGTCACATGACAAGGAGTTACTACGGTCACAAACGCAATCATCTTCACATTCTCTTCCATAAGTGAACGAGGGACAATCTTTAAAGAAAGAGAAGATTCATAAAATCTAGATTTTCTCATCTCTTTCTTTCTCTTAAAATCCAAGAACAGATATTCTCAAACTTATAAAATTAATTCAATCTAATATAAATAGTATATGATTGATTGTATACTGTTTAACGTCCCTCTCCAGAATATTTTACTGATATGGAGATGTCACCATTGCCGGTGAAGGGATGCAAATTTAGGTCTATGCTCGGCACTTACGGCCTTTGAGCAGGGAGGGATCTTTTGCCACACCTGCTGTAACACGGGGCCTCGTTTTATACGGTCTCATCCGAAGGACCGCCCCATTCAGTCGCCTTTTTACGACAAGCAAGGGGGTACTGAGGACCTATTCTAACCCGGATCCCCACGGGGTTAAATAGTATATGAGAAATACCATTACATTATGTAATGGTACATAGTATATGAGAAATACCATAACATTATGTAATTGTGGCATGCTTTACAAGTTGCAAATTGAAAAAAGAAAGTTAAATTGTTTGTAAAATCTTACTAAATAAAATATTTGCATTAAAATTTGAATAAAATGTATTTGAAAATTTTCAATTCCTCTCAATCTCAAGTTCTAATGTAAAAAAGGAGATCCCCAATCCAATGTTTTCAATGAAAATTAGAGAAATTACCATTTGAGCAAGATATACCAGCATCTTCGTAATGCCCACAACTACTGGGATTTTTTGTACCAGAGCACGACTGAATAGCAGGTTCATCTCCGTTGCACCGTAGATTGCTTAAAAGAATCGGCCCCGATCCCGATCCATAATAAGCAGATGTTTTTGCTTGAACAGATCTCCTAAAAACAAATAACAAGATGGCTTAATTTGCTAATTTGCTGTTGACTTAAATTCCAAAGATATGGGGGTTTTTTTATCACCATTAACATGTTACTCTTACAGTTATTTTGTTTTTTGCAAAAATTGCATTATGCTTCTCCGACAGTAATTAAAGCATTACAAACAAAGAAGAAGGTATGGTTTCCAAACAAATTTTGCACTGTGATTTTCTAAAAAAAAATGAAACTGGTGTAAAAGGTGAAAACTCATGCTTTTTAAATAATTGAAATTCAATGCAGAAAATTCATTAAAGTCATTTTTCTCACATGTGTTTTTAAATGCTAATTATGACGTCATAAACATGTGCTTTTTCCCATATTTTCTTAAAAGTTACGGAAGACACCAATTTTCAATGACATTTTCTATGTATTTGCATATTTTGGATCAGAAGTTGTGATCTATATGAAATATTGAAAAAAATGCTTCAACTTTAGGTCATTTTCAAAGGAATTTACAGGATAAGAAGAAAATGACGCATTTCATGAGGTCGTAATGCATTGACTAAATGGGAAATTACGTCACGATTAATAGATACTTGGTCACCAACATCCAAACATATAAATACTGCATTTGCAACCTAAACTGAGCGGTTTTGATTTTTCAGAAATTCTCAGGGCTAAATATGGCCCAAAGTGGCTCTTGCTCTTTAAAATTCTTCATAATGAATACAAGGCTTGTTTCTTTTTTTGTTTACATAAAGAAAATATCATTTTTTTTTAGTAAAACGAGAATCATAAAATCACAAGAAACTGTCTTATCCTATTCAGAATAAACTTTTTTATTTAAAAAACCTGCCATGAACGAACACATATAAGTATATTTAATTTATGTAAACAAACACATGGCATGGGAAATGTTTATACATATCAAAGGTTTGAAGCCAAAATCTGTCTTGTATCTCAATAAATGAGATTCAAATTTTGATGATCATTAGAAATACTGTGGAATCATTTTTATTCGTAGGGGTCAATGTTCGTGGGTAGCCACAAAAAAGTAGCCAAAAATTTCCTGGTTCGTGGGGACGTAATTTCGTTGGTATTTTTCTCCAAAGTGAAAACAAAGAAGGGTAACTCCGTCAATGTTGGTTATTTAAGTTACAAAAACGTACCGACGACCTGCACCGATAAATTATATATACAGCCGTGATGTCACAGTAAATTATCATAATTAAGAACACCAGTGGTACACGAACATGTTTCTAAATCTCTAAACCAATTCATGCTAATTGGCTGTTTAACACCCACTCCAAAATCGCACTGAAAATTTACCTCATCAAAGGGGCATTTGAGCGTGTTGGACTATAATGTAAACACTACTTAAATTTAACATTTGTTTTGATCACTTTATTACTTTAATATTGTATAAAGTTAACGATGTCTTTGATACTAAATTATTTTTTTTTGTTTTTTTTCAGTTTGGTTTTGTGTCAATAACCACATACAGATTGTCTTCTTTGTGCGCAATTACACGGACATAAGGGTAACGGTTACTTTACGATATCAGTTTTAACAAATAAAAACATATGTTTGTATATACGTTCGTGGGGATGTAAATTCGTGGATCAGGGTTACCCACGAAAGCCACGAACATTGGTCCACCACGAACAATGATGATTCCACAGTACCTTAGTTCATAATTTGTAAATATAAAAAAATGGAAAATAATAAATTTGATTTTTTTTTAGATGACACTATGTCTATGTCCGTTTAAATGTACCATATATACTGTATACTATTATTACACATCTGAATACAAACTTTGATGAATGTTAATGACCGGAATCAAAGGAAACATTAAGTTTACACTGATTTGATTAATTAATGGAAAAGTAAAGATGTTGAAGTGATCGATATTTTAAAAACTACATACAATATGTAAACGGACATAAACAAGGACCCCCTGAAATTCTAGTGTTTGGATCAGGTGCCTATGAGGAGTAAACATGCCCCTTTGATGGGTCACACTAACCGTGAGCCAAACACATTGAAAGTGAAGGAAGGAGGGAGGGAAATAGGCAGAAATTTTGAATTGATAATCTGAAAATAGCTTTTGTGTACACTTTACTTCTGTATTATGTAAGTACTGAAGTCTGTTATTTTAAATGTGTTTGGGAATATTTTGTACATATTCCTTACAGCGATTTTAGATATTTGAAGACGAAAAACTATATAAATAAAAAATTAAATATTCTTTGTTTTATAAAAATTCCTTATAATCATTTGCGATTGCCAAAAAACCTAGACGTTATGTTAATTCAACGTGGATGCAAAATGGATATAATTCACAACAAATTATGTTGGTGTAGACTTTTGAAAATATATATCCAATATATGGGTATAGATCCATATGTCCTGTCCTAACGCATTGAAAAACTTGGGGTAGAATTTGTATATCAAACCCTAAAAATATTTTTATTTTCAAATTAAGATGTGGCAAACTTTCTGTTTTCACATAAAAAAAATTAATATTCCTTCACTCAAATATAAAGATAACTTTTAGGATCTTTCAAATATATCTTATATGAAAAATCTACCCATCCACTTATCTTTTGAGAACTAATTAGAGAAAACATTTTTTCTTACGTGGGTAGACCTAACTGTCGACAGGCTACTCTAGCATCCGATTCTCCAAAGCCGTCGTCACAGACTGTACCCCAAGATCCGCCTCCATCCAATTTGATCTCTAGACGACCATTTGTCCGATCGGTACCATCTCTTAGGCGGATTACACTCGAAACATTAACTGAAGTTGTACAAACCATTCAATTGATCGTCTTTCTTAAATGACTTCAAAATAATAATAAAAAAGAAGATAGAAGTTTAAAAGAGAACATAACTTACCACACACTACCCCAGCATCATCGGAGTGGTCACATGAAGATCGACTAAACGGACATGATAACAAATCCTCTTCACCTCCCACACAATTAACCTTGTCAACATGGATAGGACCAACTCCTTTCCCGAATTCAGCATTCTTCATTGCAATTCCGTATCTATAGCAGGAAGGAACAAATATAAAATATTTTCCTTGCTTCAATAAATGATATTGATAGCTGAAAAAAATATGAAACTGACTTTCCGAGTCCTAGTTGTTTGCAGACGACCGTTGCATCATTATCATCCCAGTTTCCGTCACATACTGTGGACCATATGCCTTCAATGACGACTTCTACTCTGCCCATGTTTGTTGTGTTTCCATTCACCAATCTTACGTCTGATAAATAAATAGGATTTAATGTATTAAAGCTCTTCTTTTCAAGTCAATCCAATCAAATTCAAACGACAGTTTATCCAAATAAATAACACTTAAAAATGTAAAAGTTTCAATGAAACATATGGAGATAACGAACATTATTCAAAATCAAAAGTCCATAAAACAATACAAAATAGCAGCAGAACAAACATGTGTAGTTATTATATATTTTTATTATCTATATCTATCAAAGTTTTAATCAATAGGTTTTTTTAGAAAAAGAACTCATTTTGCTTAATAGAAAATGAAATTCTAACAACTTGAAATTACAGATTTACCATGGAGACAAGGTTTTCCATTAGCTTCGCACTGACAGGCGTCCCCAGTATACCCAGCCTTACAGCGACAAGCCCCGGTAGTTTTGTCACAGGACTCTGTGTGCATCCTGACACAGGCACATTTATCACAGTTTCGACCAAACGTCCAGTTTGAACAAACTAATAAGTCAAACACAAAAGAAATATGATTATACTAGTCTATTATATTTAATAAATGTAACAATTTTCCTACTTTCTTTTTTTTTGTTCTTGATTTAACCTTACTCAAACTTAATCAATCTATGAAGCAAGTGTTTCTCGTGTGTCTCACCACAATTGGACCCTGCAACGATAATTCTGTCAATGGCAGTCCTCTCCTCCATCCTGATTTTAATCTGAATATTTAAATGAAATATTTCACACCATTAGAAAGTTTGTATATTTGCATTGTTATTACATAAATAATCCTTTATATTGATTGAACGATAGTGTGTTGTTTTACGTCCCATTTAATGATTTTTCAACCATAAAGAGGGGTAATAATGTACCAGTTAATGGCTTCAAATCTAGAATTAACATGCAATTGGCACTCGGTGCCAGTGAACAATGAGGGATCTTTATTGTGCCAACGCCTGTCTCGACGAAAGGCCTTGGGTTTTAAGATTTCATCCGAAGGAACCCACAATTTTCCATCATCAAGCGGCCGATCTATCTTAACAGTCTTTTTGTTTGGAGGTGATACAAATCTTTATGGATTTTTTCACTCGGGATATTGGAATTTAGAGATGGAAAGCTATGAAGTACAATATGTATTGCCAACTTATTATATAATTTTAATACCAGCAGAATTAAGGCAATTAAAGTTAACAAGTTAACGAAGGCTTTAAATAGTTTAAACTTCTTTTGTAAAATTGGTTCAAAATTGGATAAAACTATAGATACTGTGAGCATTGAGCTTACTAAATGATATCCCCACCTCTGATATGATTATAATGGCAAAGTCCATGTTTTGATCTAAGAGGCCCGAAATTCTTTGATACATATAGTGCCATTGTGCAGCTCCTATTTTGCTTTTTGATCAGAAGTATATTTCGGGTTTCCCATAGCAAAGCAAAGACACTTCCATTTTTCCATAATATCGAAGAAAACTCATTTCTTATTTTAATTTCAGAAAAAAAATTTTATTGATATTACGAGATACAATATATGACAAAAAAAGGTTTTGTCCCAGGCTCTTCGTTAGCAGCGTCTTTGATGTTTTTCAAATTAATATTCTGAAAATCTTACCATGTGTATAGGTTTTGACCCATTTATCTGCGTGTCTTTGGACGTCCAGTTTTGCTGCGAACCAGACAGAACCGCTACAGAAGATTCCAAGTACGAGTTATCTATTGTAGAGATCCTTATTGACCCTCGACCATAAAGGAAGTAGTCAAAGTAAAGACAAAACTGCTTTCCTATTGACAAAATGTAAAAATATATTGTTAGGGTTATAAAAAAACAAGACATAGCATATTAGTATAAAATTTATTATAATATCCATATATGCATATGTATTACTTACACCTGTGTATAGTTGACCTTGGCCTGTTCATTTGAAGTATACCGAATACTTTTCATTTCTTAAAAGTAACCTTGTTATTAAAAGCAACTCTAAATTTAAATCAAAAGAAATGCCGAAGGGCAATAAAGCTCACCTGAGTCAATATAACGAGATGATCCCATAATTAGTTTCTTATGCAAAGCTTTAATCACTTGCTGTGCCACCCCCCCCCCCACCACCACACCCCTGATGATTTGAATTAAAATAATATTAATGCGAACCGCATTTGTTTCTACGTAGATATGACTGATTAGGCTATACTGCTCCTCAAGAAAAATTGGCCTGTACTAAAGTACCTGAGGATGCTTCCATGTAAAAATGTGTTATCTTGGCTTTATTGTTCTTAGATTATTTACTAGAAACAAAATGCTAGCTACCCCATTGTGGCATTACCACACCCCTGAGTTCAAGATTTGAAGAAGCTCGGCCTTTACAATCTTAATTATATCCATAATGGCTATAGCTTATTTTTGTCGCCCCATCAAGATTCAATGAAAGGGGGCAATTATCCGATGAAAACAATGAAAGACTCTTTCGGCGGTGAAAAAGATTTGTTATTTACCAGAACAATTCAGTAATGGTTTCGCCTCAGTCAATATTGATACTATTTTCTGGTAAATAACAAACACCTCCGAAAGGGTCCATTTATATATATTTATATGTATTTTGTAACTGTATTTTATCAAATATGGTTGTATATGGTTGTATGCCTAAAACAGATCTTCCACTTTTATTCCAATTACCATTGCAAAACGTAACCCTTAAACAATCATTAGAACTTTTAAACTAATATTTTAGTATGGAAAATGACTCCACGGTATCAAATGATACAAATAGTGAAGATTGCAGATCAGTGTTTCCTTAATATAAGCTGATGAAGACACTTACGTTTTATATTCAATGTTATATTCATTTCAGTAAAATAGCTATCAGCTGACAAGTAATAAGGTTTCGTATCCAGATAAAGGTAATTTAAGTCATCGGTTCCGCTGCTTGGTTTCCAACCGTACGTTGATAAATACTACAAAAAGACAATGTAAATTATCAAATAGAGAGACATTTCTTTTATTCTTTTTTATTAATGGAAAATACATTTATTCAGCAGTAAGAGGATAGATAAACAATACAAGAAAATTGCCTATACTGTGTGAAAAAGATTAAAATTTTTAAAAATTCAATTATGACTTTTTCTACGATTCACTGAACATTAACATATACTTTATGTAATTCTCAGCAAACCGCAACTTATCTATGAAATAGCAAACATACACCAAAGACACCAAAAAATTAAAAATTGTTATTATTTTTATTGTTTTTGATATTCCAAATTTCTTTCATACATACACCAAAGACACCAAAAAATTAAAAACTGTTATTATTTTTATTGTTTTTTTCATATTCCAAATTTCTTTTTATGGGTGCGTCTTGGCGGTAATTGCCTAAGAGATTGTATTCGAACTTGATATTCCTATTTCCACTATTCCTTTTATACTAAGCACATCATTTATGATAAACATTCTTCGGTTTGAGAAAAAAAAACTACCCTAAGTTTAATTCTTTTTACAAAACTTATCTTTCAGAAAATGAATCTATATATTTAGTCCATTTTGTCAAAGATCAGTTTTTAAACTTAAGCAAATGTCGATGTTTGATATAAGCGATATAGAGTAATAATAAACGCGTCCCGAAGGTAAAAAATGATTCTCAGCCTGTTTTTTATTGTTGGGTTTGAACCCGACAAATCGCATATTACTTGGATATTCGTTTTTTAATATAAAATTTCCGACCAAAATACTTTAATTGAAATTCCATATCCAGATCTCTTTGTATTTACTTTTTCGTGCCCAACTGAATCATTATGAAACAATCTAATTCAGAGAATTCGTGTCCCCCGCTTAGGGAAAAAGTCGGATCCCCCTGACTGAATTTGTAGAATTATTAAATGTATACATGTATACTGATGCAAATAAAATACATGTATGTCAATTTGCGTATAAAGATTTGATTGCTTATTCTTTATTATGTGTATAGAAGATTCTTTTTATATGGAATATTTATCACACTGTAATGGTGATTTTATAACCTCATAAATTTTTCTTTTCACATGCTGAATACTATCATTTAAAAAGAAAAGAAAATTAAAAAAAAAAGGATCGCCCGGGATTCGATCCAGGGACCTCTCACTTGTGAAGCGGGAGACATACCACTATACCACGGAGGCGCTTTAAATGTTGTCAAGTATATGCAGAAGTAAAGTCACATACATGTATATATTCATGCTCGATATTGTCAAAATTTTACACAATCCATGGTGATTGATTTATTTAGCCTTTATTAAACAGTTCTAATAGATATAATAAGAACATAAAGTCCACCGAGAACCTGTTTTATACGCAATAACTCTCCGCATGCCCCTGTGCTAAAAATAGCGATATGTAATACTATAAATACTAATAAAACAAACAGGGCGGGGCACTTTGAGAGGGGTGAGAGAGGTCCTCGGGAGTTTTGGTTCAAAATTACATTGCATAAGCTCAAAATCTTCTTGAAATATCGCCCGGAAATAATAGTGTTACACACAGACAGAATGTATAAATTTACGACCTTGAACTATGACCTTTTGACCTCAAAATCAATAGGGGTCTTCCTTAGGTCACAGGGGGTTGTTACACAAAATTTCATTGCAATAGCTTAAATGGTTCTAGAGATCATGTGGAAACGAAAGTGTTATAACAGACAGAACTTGCTCAATTATGACCTTGACCTTTGACCTTTTGACCTCAAAATCAATAGGGGTCTTCTTTAGTCCATAGGGAGTTGCTATGCTAAATTTCATTGCAAAAGCTCAAAGGGTTCTTGAAATATCGTGTGGAAACAAAAGCGTTACAGACGGACAGAAAGACGGACGGACGGACGGACAAACCCAAATTAATATACCCCACTTTTCAAGCGGGGGACAAAAAAGAGGCCCATGGGCCTTAAAGGTCACCTGAGTATTGTGTAACAACTTTCAAACAATAAAATTTGGTTCGTGTTTTTAACCAGAGGCCATGAAATTAACTATTCTGAAAGAGGCATCATTGCTTATCATAGTTATTAACTTAGCATGCTTACTCTATTTACTTAATACCAAGAGGTAGATCAGAGTAACAAAGAGAAAATGCACTTCCACTTTCTACCCAGTCGTACACCAAACCCCAAAGGAGCCACTGACCCAGGAGGCACATATTTTAAAATTTTGCAAATTTTATCATATATTGGTTGATTAATACCAAAGAGGAGATTTCAAAGCATTGATTTGTTTTCAGAGAATGTACCCCCCCCCCCCCCCACTCTGACCCAGGGGGCATAAAAACACTTTGCTTGATGCACCTTTCTTCATCATAAATATATATACTTGGATCATTGGCATAAAACCCAGAAGCAATAGAAAATATTTTCATAGAATAAATGTATGTTCACTATATAATCAATAAAACCCCGCCCTGACATCAGAACCCCTAAACCTGGGACCATATTCACAATTTTGGAAGAGGAACTCTTGCTCATTATAATTATGTACTTAGTTTATTTAATACCCAAAAGCAGAGAAGAAGATTTTCAGAGAATAATGCATTTTCACTACATAATCAACAGAGCCCTACTCTTAAACCAGAACCCCTGACCCTGGGGCCCCAAAATGAACAATTTTTGAAGAGGCACCCTTGCTCATCATAACGATGTACTTAGTTAGTTATTTAATACCTAGAAGCAGAGAAGAATATTTTCAAAGAATTCAGGCATTTTCACTATATGATCAATAGAGCCCCACCCTAATACCAGGACCCCTGATCCTGGTACCATAAAATGAACAATTTTGGTAGAGGCACTCTTGTTCATCATAACTATGTACTTAGTTTATTTAATACCCAAGAGCAGAGAAGAAGATTTTCAGAGAATAATGCATTTTCACTACATAATCAACAGAGCCCTACTCTTAAACCAGAACCCCTGACCCTGGGGCCCCAAAATGAACAATTTTTGAAGAGGCACCCTTGCTCATCATAACGATGTACTTAGTTAGTTATTTAATACCTAGAAGCAGAGAAGAATATTTTCAAAGAATTCATGCATTTTCACTATATGATCAATAGAGCCCCGCCCTAACACCAGGACCCCTGATCCTGGTACCATAAAATGAACAATTTTGGTAGAGGCACTCTTGTTAATCATAAATATGTACTTAGTTTATTTAAAACCCAAGAGCAGAGAAGAAGATTTTCAGAGAATAATGCATTTTCACTACATAATCAACAGAGCCCTACTCTTAAACCAGAACTCCTGACCCTGGGGCCCCAAAATGAACAATTTTTGAAGAGGCACCCTTGCTCATCATAACGATGTACTTAGTTAGTTATTTAATACCTAGAAGCAGAGAAGAATATTTTCAAAGAATTCATGCATTTTCACTATATGATCAATAGAGCCCCGCCCTAACACCAGGACCCCCTGATCCTGGTACCATAAAATTCACAATTTTGGTAGAGGCACTCTTGTTCATCATAACTATGTACTTAGTTTATTTAATACCCAGGAGCAGAGAAGAAGATTTTCAAAGAAATAATGCATTTTCACTCTATTATTTATATAGCCCCGCCCTAGCACTAGAACCCCTGATCCTGGGGCCATGAATTTCACAATTATGGTAGAGGACCAATGCTCATTACATTCAGGCCTACAGTTTGCCTGCTTGAAGTCCAAGAGTAAAGAAGAAGATTTTTAAAGATTGCAATACTTTTAGTGGTTTTGGCCCAATCCCTCAGGCCCCAGGGGGGCAGGGACCATGGAATTCAGAATTTTTATTTCCCTTCACCCATAGATGCTATATACCAAATTTGGTTGAAATTGTTTCAGTGCTTTCAGAGAAGCTGAAAATGCTCAAATGTTAACACACGACACATGACGCATGACGACGGACGAAAACGGTTAGCAATATGTTATAATATACAGCTCAACAAACTTTTTAAACTCACTTGGTTTTTCGCACAAAATAAAGTCGCATTGTTCTCGAATAAAGCTTATAACTATCGAGTTTAAGTAGGAGACATAACCCTTATAGTATTAAACTGTTTCATGTAAAAAGTGCACATTCTCTAAAATAATTATCATTTGTTTAAAAGTGAATGTTCTAAGAGGAAATTTGTTTATAAATTGTATGATGTTAAATGTTTATGATTCTATCATAGATTTCTATCATAGGGTTACACAAATCAATTAATGGAATTTTCTCTTATACTATTTGGTTGAAATGTACAAATTAACTTCTTAAAGATAAGTATTGTTCGAGGTACTTTGCACATTTTCCCTACTTGTCATGTTTTTGTCGAAATTCAGCTCCGATAAATGACAAAACTGCATACAGAAAATGGAGAGCATAATAAAGTATTGTTTATCATTTAAAGTGACAACACGACGCATCTCTTCAAAAACAGACTTGTTAAAATTTTCCTATAGGATTTGGAATTTTTTCCATACTCATAAATGTAAACACTTTCAGAAAATTACAAATTTCATGAGTAAATAATTCTGATTATTTCATTAAAATTAATAATTATTTATGGCCCATAAATATATACATCGGAACGTGTTCGAGGTTTCACATTCCATGCTATTCACGCATGCGTATAGTTTTCATAAACAAAACAGCATGGTAAGAGAGGGAAGCCGGTAGGCCTGCTACATTGACAAAGTCGACCACAACGAAAAACAAAACCAAAAAAAGGGCTTGAAATTAAAAAGCAACTTTCCTGATAAAAATTTAGTTGGGAGATTAATATAATCATTGGATGAAGAAGAAACGGGATCTCCGCGACATTCACGTGGGGCTCGCGAAGGTTTATATCCTACAGATTGTTGATACATGTTATTATTTCTTGTATCTCCATGGCTTTCAAAGAAAAAAATCAGTGTAAACTCAATGTACAAATGCACTTATGACATATAAAAATTATTGCCATTTGAAAAGCAAACTGTATTGGAACT